TGTTCTTGAAAAGTGTGGTTACACCGTTTAGAAAGCTTCGTAATCTTGTGAATACCCTATTACACAAGTACTTTTTCCACATTGACACCATATGTTTCAAGCTACTACCGAAATCCTACAATAATGAAGATAGATGGATGATTCGTTCTATAACGCAAATCTAAGTTGAAGCCAGCTCTACAAAACGGTACCTGAAACAAGGCAAAAGACTTCTTGGGAAGAGAGATATCAACGATCAAACGTTCGATACATTTTTTTGGGACACACTGTATTTAAGTAGGGACTGTAACAAGCAGAATTACATGACTCTCCTTGCGTTGACCACACAAATTTCAAAACCAAAAAGTCACTTGCGCTTATGAGAAACTACCAAGAACACAGTAACCATGTGGAAGATGAACGCTAAAGTGACTGGTGCACGAAGTCTTATATACTTTCGACTATAACTCAATGAGAAAAATCGAGCGCAATGGCTAATCTCCAAACGATTTTTGTCCTCTAATTTTATCATTAGCTGACTATGCCTCACAATAAGCGAGGTTCTCATTTTTTTTTCCTTCACGGAAACATAATCGTTAAAGGCGTTTAATGGATTTCTTCATTGAGCTAATGAACTGGTAGAGCAGAAATAGTAACAAACTTCTGCAGCCTTCAGATATAACATCCAAATGAACATTATTACAATACCGCGCATAATTCGTCGAGAAAGTCGCCGAACTCCGCCGAAGTTTGCCGAAATCCGCGTTGCATCGCTATATCTTGCTTCAAGGGCATGTTCTGAATTCAAGAGAACCGTTCAATTCATCGGCGAGGCGCATCTTCCAATCTATGGAAGTGCCCGTTTGGATATAGTAGGTGCACTGTAGGCAGCCAGATTTTACGAAGCTTTTTAGGTTTTTGCTTACGGTAGGTGACCCAATGTGTTTATTTATTGCACCCTGAACAGTCTACCATAAGCAAATTCTATGAAAGCTGACCGCTCACCGTATCCAAATATCTCCGAACTGAATCGCGGTGTCAGTGGATTCAAATTTCGTCCACTCTGGACCAGGGTATGGCGACGCGACGCGGATTTCGGTAAACTTCGTGATGTTCGGCAACTTTTTGACGAATTATGTGCGATATTGTACTTTTTGGATGCAAATCATTCTAAGCGCAGATTTAATTAGCACTTTTTTTTATCACTTAGTTGAAAGCCTTCTGTTGTGATAAAATTTGGCGACATTGCCGCATAATTTTCAGTTTTGATGTCCCGGTAAATTTAGGATTCCATGCTGATTCTAATTAATGCACTAAACTTGACTAGTGAATTCACTAAATGCACTGTAATATTTCATTTTTTGCGCATTTTGGATACATTAAGTGACGCAAGTTAAAATGATTGGACTAGTAGAAATACAACTCTTTTAGTAATGTTGGCAGCTTCTTGCGCAATCGCCTTTCGAGGTATTCCGACTGAGACACAGAATATTTGGAGCCACTTCACCACATTTGGAGCATAGGAAAATAAACAAATTGCATTTTGATGGAAAAGATTAGCAGATAATTCTGGACAGTACCAAATTTTTCATCTTTTGAACTTCAGTTACCGAACATCCAGTGAACGACTGCACAACTTTTATGTTGCAAGCTACTTTGAGACAAATTTGCGGAGCTCTGTTTCTGAACTCGACAGCGAACACAGCGAACAAGTAATTAAAACAGCAACAAATACATTACGATTTCATCCTCAATAGTGATAAATGATTCACACAAAAAACGACGGAGGCCTAATTCCTGGATTGCTTGCAGCTTTTTTGCTGCTAACAAATGGGTTAAGACGACTAATTAGGGAAACTTAATGGGTTTTTGTTGTCATCACTCGAGAAGGCAGTCAACATAAGATCGGTAAAAATTCCTTAGCCGAGTTGAAATAGCAGTTTAGAAGATAGAGGCGTAAAGCTTACATACCTCATTGTCAAAAGTTCTCTAATACAAATTCATAGAGTTGGTAATCAGTAGAATCGACGCCTTGAAGCAGAGAGTGGTTCTGATAGCAGGGCAGGCGGAAATCGTGATAAGATCACACTTGGCCAAAAAATCATGCTTTGGAAGCTTTTGCACACAAGTTTGAATTTAAACTTCAAATTAATCTTTCCTAAGGTAGTTATTTGGTGCAATGTCCATAGTAAGTTTGTACTCATTTTTGAATAGCTGAAATCTTTAAAACTCCAGTTTGATTGCTAATCTTCTAAACTGTGAGATTATTTTTGCATTTCTGCCACAAAATTCTTCCTTTATAGTATACCTTTAATCATTACAGATTGAAGGCTTGCAACTTCATAAACTTTGGAAGCTGGAAAATGCTTCATTGATTTTTCTCATTTAGCTTTGGACAGGATGTACTGTATTCTTCCGAACGAGTGGCTCTCGGATCCATACAACAAATCAGTTTAACATGGCAGGGAAGGACGGTGTCTCTGAAAGTGGGAAAATCAGCAACAAGCCTTTTTATCACAACTGAACCGGAGCCCTTGACCAAGCTTTCTATAGGTGATGAAAGGTGCGTAGTCTAGAATTTTGATTTTTCATGTAATCGACTTAGCAGCTTGAGCATTTGATCTTCACAAGCTTAGATGCTGGATTAGTGGCTCAAAATGAAAACTTTACGTATATCAACTTGATATTCTATTTGAAGCACAACTAATACGATTTTGTAGGATTTCCTTCTTGCCATTTCTTTGCATTTCAATTCTTCTGTTTAGAGGTCTTTCTTTTGCTGGTCGTATCGTCCAACTTTCTGTGAATGGGAGACCCCTACAGCGAAGTGATGTCACGTCGTTCTCAGGTACATTGTTTGACCTCTTACTTCACGGAGGAGTAGAAGTCCATGGATCAGTCAAAAAAGAATTTCTCGCATTCTGGTATATTATGAATCCCGCACCCTTCCCTCCCCACGAGGATGGGTCGCTCAATTTTTGAAAGCTACCCACATGTATTATGAAACGTGTTGAAAATTCTTAGAAAATCAAACTAGACTTGCAAAACTTTTTTTCGCTTGTAAATTTATGGGGCTATGGGCCCGCAAAAATTTTGAGCATTTGATAGAAGTCTGTGTTTGCATAATCCTCTGTTTTCGACTCTGGTATCAGTTTTAGTAGACGTGTTCGCCTAAAAACATGATGAAATCCTGTCTATCTCTTCAAACGAAATTCGAGCACGAAACCAAATATGGCCTTGAGAATTAATGTCTGAGGATTCTCATTCTGGATATCCAAGCACAGCTGATTTTTTAGGGCTGCGCGATCTCTACAACTCCCCTGTGGTAATACAAAACGGTAGCTACATTGAGCTCACAAACGTCAATGTTGAGGTTAGATCGAAGCTGCAAGTGGCGCTCAGTTTTCGCACATCAGCGGAAAATGGTAAGGTTACCAAGCCGAAATTGTCAGTTTATTAACTGCCACTCTCTTTTTTTTTTCAGGTTCAATTTTCACATGGTGTTCTTCAACAAAGCGAAAGAAATGTGCTACCTACATAACTCTAGTGCTCAGAGACCAGCAGCCTCATATATTTTTCGACCTCGGCTCAGGAATGTTGCAATTAAGGTATGCATGCCAAAACACTTGACCAGTTACTGGAATCAATCTCTGCCTTTTTTTTTGGGTAATTATAAAGGCACTTACCTTCAAGAAAAATTCGAAGGAAACTGTGATTAATACGGGGTAATTAACTGACTAATGGAGCGTATCAGTTCGATAAAAAGCTATAAATAATCGCTTGCAATAAAACTTATTTTTCAAGTGGAAAGCCTATTTTATCTCGGTACTGGACGGCTGTAAAAGTGGATGTGACGCCTTCAAGTGCGAAAGTATACATAAATGGAAGCCTGGCCATCACAAAGTCAGTTACGGTAAGCATTTATGAGCGTCATAATGATAAAATACATCAAGAATTTCTTCTAATTCCAAAAAAATGCATAACAAATTTTGTTTTACCAACTTTACTCGATTATAAGCTTACCATCCTGAAGTGCGAAGAAGAACTTTTCCATTTTTTTGAATGCATATCTTAAAGATTATTTTGAGCTTGCAGCATGAATGAAATTCTGTAAGAATCTTCAAGAAGCATCATGAAACTTTACAAATTTATCAAGCTCAAGGCTTCTCCATATTGATCTACATTTTCTTTCCATTTGATTTGTTATTGTTGTCTCAGTGCTGTTAGGCTATAAATTCAGATAGGAATTGGCCCAATTAGCTTTGCTCACTAATTCTTAATTCTTCCAGCATAGTGACAGACATCTTATGCTTGGCAACGATTCTGTTTTCTTGGGAGGAGTTCATCCCAACTTGCTGCCGGAAAAACTTCACTCCTACACGACACCATTTTCCGGAGAAATGAAGCGATTGTTCATAAATGAAAGGCCTTTCGATCTTTATCAGGTTTGTTAGTGAATTTTAAAGTTTGCTCTATCCATACTGATTAAATCATAAATGGGGCTTTGTTCGCAATTCAAACAGGTGCAAAAATGTGCGTTCATGAAAGGTGACGTTGAGCTCCAAAGACTAGCTGTGAAGTGCTCTCAGAGTATAGGGGTTGGAGAAAAATAACTTCCGATTATTGGGCAAATTTCTCACAATCTCTCTTGGAGCACAGGTGATTTAGCCTCAATGAAAGATGAAAATAGCTTGTCACTCATCAAAGTGAAGAGGTAATGGTGGCACAAAGGTACACGTAATGGTGGTTGATTTGCCTAAAGCTATCTGCCATCTGTCATAAGGAAAAAAGCTCAATGCTTTGAGGAGAAATCTGCATTTGAGTTGTTTAATTACAAGGTAAATTATCACGAAATTCATAGGCTCATAGGCAATTTTTTTCGTAATTCATAGGAAAATTTTTTTTCTTACAACTACTATATTGTTCAAAATCTAATAGATTTTACATTTATTTGGCCATTAAATGGACGGATAAATCATGAAGCATGAACAAGAAAAGGTTCAGAAACAATGCTGATGACAAAAGCTTGAATAATGATGTCTGGGATGCTAGATTTCCAGATGTGAGCTACAAAGAGTGAGACAAACAATTTATATAATTTTAGCACAACTTCCTCCATACTTAAGAAAGGTCCTCGTATTTGTATGATCCAGAGTTTTTAAAAAAACAAATTCAGAACAGCACAGACTGTTTTCTAGCCGAGTCTATAGTAGGCATTGGCTCTGGCTCTCGACAACGACTCGGTTCTCTTTTGCGTTCCTGGCATTTGCATCTGAATATTGCGCCAGAATTGGTCAAAGCTTCTTTTCGGGAGCGGGTAGTCGACCAATCCATTGTACTCGTCGCTGTCTGGAATTGACATATGTTGAGGAAATTAGGGAAATTTTCTATTAAGGAATTCTTACCGATCATGAAGGCTTGTGTGGTGGTGAAGAATGCTAGTAGAAGGGCGAGGAGCGCTCGCAGTGCTCTCATGGCGTGAATAGTGAGTGAACAGGGCGTGGCTGGCTAGGGGACTTATGTCTGCCAACGCCCCTCACTTAGGAATAAGAAATACCAAAAATTGTTCTGGGATTTTCTCACTTGGGATTAGTTAATCTATAAATACGTCAGACTATTTGGATGTGCTGCTTAGACAAGCTAAACACTGGTAGTCAATTCAATTTTACGGAGGTATTAACCATTGACGAGAACACGATTTCAGCCGAGTGTTCAACTTACCTGATGTTTGCGTGAAAGTCAAAGCTTAGCGTTATTGGAAAAACTTCATTATTAACGGTTTAGGAAAACTATGAACATTGAAAAGAAGCTGGTCCAAAGTGTTGTGAGCCAATGGTCTGAATGGGTGGTAGTGATAGTAAATCCAAAGTGAATCATTGCTTAACCTTTTGAAACTTAGCGCTTTATTCGCGATCTCATTAAAATATACAGGCAAACGGTGGTAACGAAGACGATAAAATTTTGCTATATTCACTAGTAGAGAGCAAACCTGAAAGCTCTATCATGATTATCGGATTTTTTTTACCGAATTTGCCGTATGGCAGCTTAGTTTCGGCTGTTTCAAAACTGTTTCAAAATGCACATTTGAACTGATATCAAGAATCTAAATCAATTTCTAGCTTCGTACATCTGCAGAACACAACATTTACAAATAGAACTAGTAACCAAGTATTTGCCAAATGCGGGATTTGCAATAAGCTACATTCTCAATATCAGTTGACTATAAGAGTTGTAGTAAATAACCTATGCTTTTTCTTCACCAACGGCCCGATACATTTAGTTCAGGACAACTGAGTTTTACCTTATAGTATACCTTATCTTACTTTACCTTGCCTCATAGCACCTTATAGATGAATATGATTCTGCTTTGAAGGTTATGCTTTGATAATCTTAACTTAGATACAGTCCTCAACGTTTGTGGATGGGGCCATGGTAGCTGCCCAGTTTTCAAAACTAAGATTAGTCCGAATGAATTAGCGTCAGAAAATTACCAAATTTGCCCCAGGTTACAGTGACAATAAGTGATGGTTGTCAATATGCCGGATATGTTCTTCGATGAATAGGAAATGGTCGAAAAGTAGGTATAAGGGCCTATCTAGCTCCTAGCGTTTCTTCCAGTTTTTGTCCCATTATAGTGAGACTTTTTGAAAATTTGAACTACGCAACGCATATGGCTAGCACAACGTACCGTTCATATTGGCTGCCTCTCCCGCTCAGATTACAAACTTTGATTCGATAACAGAATGAATAAGACCCTGTTTTTCTTCATTCTTTTCAAAAGACGGAAATTAGATCAAAGTACGACCTTTCCCGGAAATCGTCTGCAGGGATGCCGTAAGCGTATAAGGAAGATAAGAAGTGAACTAACTTCACCTCTTCCTCTCCTACGAAAATGACGTGGATACCCAGAAGTGGGTGAATAAGTCAGGGCTCGACACGGCTGGCACCGGCTAAAGCTGGATATCGTTTATTGCGACGTTTATTTAATCAACGTTTCTTTGGATTTTTGTGCTAGTTTAGGGTCAAAGGGGACTTCGTTTTAAAATTTCCCTATTGCCAGCTCATGCCGAGCCCTGGAATAAGTTCATTAGCTCTTACTCATCTTCACCGCTTGAGTCCTCATACGTAAGGCGATTTAGTAATTTGTGATTTTTTTTCTTTAGCGGAAGTCAAGATTATTAGAATCCGCTATTAGTCAGGCTTTTCTTCGCTGATCCACAAACATCATAAGAAGGGTGCCAATTCCAATTTTGATGAAAGCCTGTCCGTTTGCGAAAAAAACACAAACATTTTCGGATTTGTCTATACGTATAATCTGGACTAATCTTGCTGTGGAAGCAGAGACGTAAGCTTACGGAAATTCCTCAGATCGAGTAGATAAGACGATAAAACTGAAACTTTGAAAATGTTTTTTGAGCATCTGCAGTGCAGCTAGATCATGCATAGCCGAGGCGATAAATTTAGTTAGCTAATCTTGTACTTAGACTAAATATTTGTATGTATGTCTGTGTATGTGCTTGATGAAGAAATTGGAGTCCCTTCAAGGCAAAAAAGCCTTTCTTGTTTGTAGAAGTTCACTGAAGTCTTTTAACGCTTTCATCCTTCTTCTAACATTTTTTCGCCCTAACGACATGATAAGAAGGGGGTATATCTCAATTCAAACTGATCCAATCCGAAATTTACACGTACACCTCGAGAGTGAAGGGTTTTCGAGTCTATTTTCTTGTTGTCGAGTAATATCGATTTATTGATCCAGCAAGATTTCAGCTGATGGGACTTGGTACAAGATGCATGCAAATAGATCACCATACGATATTCATTTTCAACTTCTCGAACGATCGAACGAACGATTTTATCGACTCTCAAAATTTGAGCTGGGGGCTGGGAATTGATGAAGTGAAAAGTAAGCATGCTGGCAAATAGAAGAAAAGGCAGAAAAATGTTTTGTTTTTTTAGAAAAAACTTTTATGGTTTACGATCCATGTTTTCCTGCCCGTTTGTTGAGTATAGGTGGATGGCGCTGCAGTACCAAAGCATTGCTGCTTCTGATGGCCTTTATTGCACAGAAAATGGGGATCTCTTAGGATTACGGCACCTCAAAATGAGGGCTCGCAAAGCACCCATTACTTTTGCACCAACGTAATATTTCTTGGTTTATGCAAGAAAAAACCAGCTAAAGGCCTAGAGTTTTGTCTGATTGGGTGGTGTGATCTGAATCAGAGCTGTTGACTTGCGAAAGTCTTTAGGGAAACCCATTCGTGGTTTGTGATGTTGATCGTTTTGCAGACTGGCCGATAATCTTGTTGATGAGTGGGTGTGTTGTCACTGTGGGTGAATTTACTCAGAGAATCTAGCACAAACATTGAAAAAGCAAATCACTGGAGAATATACGTAGTTAGTTCTTGCAGATTCACATTCAGCAAATACGCTTCACTTTTTCGTATTTTCAACGAAGCCGCTGTGTAATGGATAAGTGCGGGTAGAGCCCAGTACAAGCAAATCTAAATAAAGGTAATCAGGCCTTAGAGGCGATGCTGAGAATATGAAGCTATTCAAGTATTGTACTATCTAAGTCGTTAAGAAGAAGAGTTCACACGAAATGCAGGGGGTATTTCATGATTGGGAATTCCACTAGGTACATCATTAGGCTATAAAGTACAACACCGCTCATAATTACTGCAAAAAGACACGACAGCGACCGGAATAGGTGACATCACCATAGCGTGGCCATATCTCGCTGCAGAATGGACGAAATCTAAATTGGCAAGATTCGATTCAGCTCGCGCGTCTTCTGATATGTGGAAGTCCTGTATGGTAACGGTAGGCAGCCAGATTTCGCAAGTCCTCGCAGAATGGTGCTTAATCACTGCACACTGTCTCATCCACCGTAAGCGAAGATTGTACATTCGTGAAATCTGGCAGCCTACCACGTGCATTCCGTACACGAACAGGTGCGTCCATATACCATAACATGCGCCTTGTCGAGCTGGATTGAATGGCTCCCTTGGATTCAGATTTTTCTTAACACTGAAGCAAGATATGGCAATGCGACGCTAATGTCACCCAACTGCGGTGAATGTAGCGCTTTATTGCAAAAATTATAACGTTGTAGGAGTTGGAAATGGTCGATACATACAAACGTGGGAGTGATATCCGGCCAAAGGGCTATGAAAAGAGAGGGAGCATCTGGAATAGGAGATGTGCAGAGGACTTGGATAAAGCAACAAACAAAATCTGCTGATGAGGAAATTGTCAGAACTTAACCCAGCCATGCCACTTAATCCAGCCAACCCACTCAAACATGCTGTAAATCATCGGACTCGTCTCAAAGCGCTAATTTCAAAAATATGTTTTTATCTGCCAAGCGCCTATCTGGGTGGAATTATGAGCGTTCAAATATGGAAAAATTTTGAGTTTCGACATTATCTTGCCCTGAAAGGCAGCCTGATGGCGCGGATTTACAGTGTATGGTTATTACAATTACAAGGAAGAAGCACATTCACTAAAAGTCTAGATAAGTGTTTTCGAAACCTATTTTGTGCATGCACCACAGAAACTTGGCAAATCGCGCATTTAAATGCTCGTAACTTCTTCCAGGCAATCGCTTGGCAGTTAACAAACATATATTTGGGATCAGCGTTTCAAGACGAGTCCCAAGATAGCATGTTTGGTATGGCTGAGTTAAGTTCTGACCATTCCCTGCTGAGAAGTCACGCCTTGCTGGTTTTTCGCATCATCTGCATGTTTAAGAGTACATGGGAATTATCCCAGGTACTTCTCAAACGAAAGTGAACCTTTCTTACAATCTGCGATCGAATTAATGTAATTTGACAACTCCGTGAGAAATTTCACATATCCTTGCATGACTTTGTAATGTAAATACTATTTGAACTTTATTCTGTTAGGGAATATTTAATTTCTTGGCGTTTTTTTTGCAGTCATTATTACTACCACATACCATCCAGAAATATCTCTAATATTCTACTATAAATTGAAACATTCTCCCATCATCAAAGTAGGATTTATTCTATTTTCATCAAATTAAAATTTATCCTATTCTATCTGTGTAATGTTGTACTTGTATAGGTTCGATGGTGCCAATACCTTTTCCTTAGGGTCACTTACAAATTTTCAGTAAATCTAGGCCAGTTTGTTTTTCGTGAAAGCGTTAAATGCAACTCTTCTATTTGATATCCTTTTTACATGATGCTAGTGGGAGAAGCTAGGTAGTAATACGTCATTCAACTCTTAAATGTAAACACGACAATGTTTGTATCTGGAAAACAACATGTCATCATCACTGCTTATCAACAACAGAAATAGTACAGCCTAGCATCTAGTATGTATAACAAACGGCAATGCTCTGAATTCGTGACAAGTTTCGTATCGCAGTCAAAATACGTCCTCAACTTATTGCTTCAGGATGTTCTCTGGCATGGAAACGGTACCAAAGCAGGGACGCACGTCGAATCTGAGGAAATTTTCGAAAAATGTTGCGGAGCAAAGGATCATATACCGAAAAAAGGTAAGATCACTTGATAGAAGTGTTGTCAAAGCGAAGAAATGAGCTGGATGAAGGCATAGTCAAAGTAAAATAAGTCCATTTTGGTTGATAGCAAGACTTCATTTGCAATTGATGTCATTTTCTTGGTTTCATTCAAAGAAACGCGTTCTGTCGCGTATCAAAAATTTTTTCGAAATCATATTTTCATTGAGCCGCATGATTTAGTGAGTTTAAAATTTCGTGTCCAATTCATGCTTGGTACGCTACTAAGGCTGGATAACACTGCGTGATTTAGAGAAATTTAGTTTCATGAGCTTGAACTGGTAACTACATAATCTCAAGGGTAACGTCGACGGGTCACTTTAGAATTTCACTGTTTTTCGAACCAAGAAATACCTTATGTACTATCCTATCAAACAAGCTCAGTAAATGGCTTGAACAACAACGCTAGCTCATGCTTTCGCGCTAGAAACATTCGACATAATTCAATTCGAACTCTTAACTCGCGAAGACCAAACTTTGCGTATCTTAGACATTGTGTGGTTTGTTAAGATGTTTAAACGGAACACTGCAAATCGTATGGGATTGCATGTTTGAAAGACCGCAAGCTGCCTTAGCAAATGTTACAGGAAGATCATCCATATTTTAAGATCAGACTGACAATGTCGTAAGCAAATTTTCGGATTTGCACGATAAGGGATACAATTTAGCTTTCTTCAATCTTTGTCATCGAGAAATTTCGAATCGATGTTCAAGACTCTCAAGGCTGCAGCGGGACCAAATAACCTCAAACTTCTTGATTTCAATACCCCTTATAATCTCCGCTGTGAAGTACAGTAGCTAATTTGTTGACCAACGTAAGGCATTCAGCTTCTCAATGACAGGAGACACGGGTAGGGCAAAAGAGTGTTTATGCCTTTTCTGTATTTGCTGAAAGGACATGGAAGGACATAAACACTTCTGAAGCGCGTTCATTTATGGGATGGCTGCTAATTGCAAAAAGGGGAGAGTACATCACCTTGTCCGAAAAATTTAATCGGCTCTTTTATTTGCACGAGCTTGACCATGTGCTGTTCGCAGATGAAGACTTGAAGAAGTGCAACAATTGTCATATACGATCCTTTATCAGTTTGATCACCTCTGAACTTTTGATTCGCCAAAATAAACGATGCAAGTCGATAACGATATACCACTAATGTAAATGCAACTGTCCAGAAGAAAATCCAGCTGCGTACAGTAGAAAGTTTTGTCAGGAAAAGCTGTGGATGCAAATGGTAATTTTGCATATGTTTACTGATCTTTTCCACCGTTACAGTTTCAGTGATTTTTCATAGTTTGAAGCTCGAGCGCTTTTGGTCAATACAGTGCAGCAAATATCCGCGAGACAGCGCATATAAATTTTAAAACATCCATATGCGCAATGCTCATCGGTTTTCCAGGATTTAGCGCAAGAAATTTGGAAAAACGTACTATTTGACCCGCATCCATGGATGGGTCATATTCGAGGTCTACATATGCGAGAACTTGCAGATCTTTATTGGGTTTTGCACAAAATTGGAAAGTCTTTGGAAAACGTTCCAGATTATTATAGGGACTCTCAAAAGATGAATAGAGCAGCGTTAGCTTTCGTTCCAATTCTGCAATAAGCACGGCCCATACTTCGCATAATCACATACAATCTGTACCTGAGGGAATCAGGCTGAACCGTTGGCTAGATTTACGGCTCGAGGCGCTAGGGGTTTGCGCTGCATATGGGCTGTTCTGAAGGAGCGAAGATATTGAGGAGAGAGCAGACAATCTGAAGAAGATGTGATGCAACACCCTCGCGACACGGACCGCCCGAATTTGGCCTGACTAAGACTGGGACAGACTCTATGACATGACGAACTCGAAATAAGCGAAATTTTGACGAAGTTACATTCAAAAAAAGCCTTTGCACGTCTTTAAAAATTCTTCAAGCGGACTTGGTCCGCTGAACTCCTGCTTCAGAAACTCAGTGAGACTTTTTGCGACATCTCTACTGTAATAATTCTACTCATTTGAAAGCCCAAGGAGAGATTGAGCATTAAGCGCTTTTTTCCCAAAACACGCGAATTATAATATTAATGCTGCAGTCAGATAAACTAAAATCTTAATTCCTTCAAACCATAGGCCCGTAGTAAACCCCCCTTCAGGGGATCTGCCCTGAGACGACCAGAGTTGATTGTATAGCGCCTCGGTCTAGCATCCCGCGAGCTATTGATCTAGATGCGGATCGCTTTTCAGGCATAAAAATCTTGCGCGCTATCAAAGAGGAAACACGTGCACCTATTGCGCAGGTTTGATCAAACAGGTATGTGACTGGTACTCAGTCCGCACGAACGTGGTTCGGCGCCGGACAGTGGCGAATTTTTGCGCATCACTGAGCAATCTTTGATAGCGGCCACTATCGAAGAAAATTGATGACGGCCGCTATCAAGGAAGCCACAAACCAAATGAATGCACGAACCAAAAACTGCGTTTTTTTTAACCAAAATTCCATCAAAAATTGAGGAAGTAGGGACAAAATCGAATGGAAATAAATAAAGAGATTGTCGCTCTGAAAAGCTTTTGTAGATAAAACCTGAGCAAACCCTGCAAAAAGGAAAAAACCTATTCTTCTGTTTTTTGCCGAAATCAGCTGTTCATTGATCCTTTACTTTTTGGGCATCGGTATTGTGCAGTTGTGTTCTTGTACTGCAACAATACGTCGAGTACGATGTCCCGTATGTTACTCACGAGCAACTTACGGGATTTTTCTTTGCGTCTCATCCCTTGCACACTATTTCGGTCAATTCATCTCAAAATCGAGGCTGCTCTTACGGATTTCAGGTGAGTTCATCGCGGCACATGCCCTGAAGCTAACCCTTCAGATCAGGTCGCATTCTTAAGCATGTAAGAGTGACCGCTAGTCAGTTTGTCTTAAATACCTCAACTCAGCCCTCCAGTTGAGATCATCTGAAGTGAAGTGGGATTTATTACGGGCCATAGTCATTTGTTATAAAGCGTGTTCCAACTTAATGATTTTTGCTCTTAGCCTTTCGTTTTATGAAAAATCTATGTTGCAAGTCCATACCCAAAGAGTTACTGGTACCGCCCTGCTAGACACGGTTCTCTCATGCCACTGAAATCAATGTGCTCAAATTACTTAGATGTTTCTTTCTATAAAATATTTACGCCTGCCGCTGCGTGCTGCGACAAAGACTCTTTGTCCTCTTACTTTGATTTGCTTCCTAGAAGTCTCGATTAGTCTGATTAGTATTGTAAATGCCGAGTAAATTCTGGGGTGCAAAATAGAAAATTTAACTATGAATGCAGATAATGATGGCTTGATTGCAATTTATTGCAGATCCTGGCCACTTCGATGATGGTGCCTTCTTCGATGGTACACACGAATATGCGTACTTGAGTGGAGGAAACAAGCCGTAAGTCATTTGAAATAATTCTCTATTTCAATGGGGTGTAAGAAAGTGCGAACAGAACAGAGTATTTTCAGGTTTCTTGAGTGAATTGATGCACTAAAGCAAAGACAGAGATAACATCTGTTTAATACATTTATATAATTAATAAATCTATATAAACTAGCTGTCTGCTGCTTTATGGTTTGACAAAAAATGTTCTCTCAAAAAGCCTTTTCGATAAATTGTTTTCAACCGTGCTTCTTCCTTCAGTAGCGATCATAGCATACTTTGCATATGTAAGCAAAAACTTGGCATTCAATTTCTCTTTTCAGAATCTTCTCTTCCACCACTTCCGACTTTTCGTTCGAATTTCGAGCTAATTCCTCTGACGGCATACTCTGGTCTGAATCCGAGTGGCTTGGTTCAGGCAGAAGTGATTTTCTGATAATCCATCTGAGAAAAGGAAAGGTCAATGTGGCTGTGAACCTTGGCAATGACCGGCTGAAGCCTGTGTCGACAAATAAATCTGTCGTTCGTGGAAAATGGCATCGTGTTGCTGTTGAAAGGTATGAGAAAGTTTGCTCCCTATTTGCCCATATATGGAACATGTCACATGAAAGACGCTTTCGCTAGTAGTGAGAGGTTTCGAAACAACGGTGAAAATTTATTTTAAAAAAGCAACACATCTGGCATCACTCTCTGATATAGTCGAACAATTGTGCAAATGTGACATGGACATTTTGATATAAAAGTTTTCTGAGCAAGAACTAAAAGCAATACATTCTTAGAGTCCCGGGAAACAAAATATCAAAAACAAAAATATCAAAATTTTTGCCTTTCCATCCAGACCTTTATAATCAGGGCTCGGCACGAGGTGGCTTACAAGAAAGCTGGGTATCGTTTTTGGGACGAAAAGCAAAGGGGGTTTCGTTTTTGTGACCGAAGAGAGACGCAAATTTGGCGACTTGGCGAGGTTTTTTTTTTAGTCGACGTTTCGTTTTTTGGGGGATTTTGGGGAATTTTTCAGGTTTTTAGAGGAAATTTGGTTGAGGGTCAAAGGGGACTTCGTAAAAATTCCCAAAAGTCAAGGGGACTTCGTTTTCTGCATCTTCATCTAGCCACCTCGTGCCGAGCCCTGTTTATAATCATGATAATAGAGATTCCGGCACATATTACAATCCTTTTTTGCTGAAAAATTTTTTTAATTTCATCGTTGGGAACTTTGTTAAGAGTCAAAATATAACCAATTTTTTCCTTTTTAGATCCTTCCCACAAGAAAATGTCCATCATTGTTAGCGTTAAAGTAATTTCAGCTCAATTATCTTTGAAAAGCAAAAATTAAACTCTGCTGCTAACAACTTGTAAGCAGAGCCTGTAACTTTTTTGGTAAATTTTAAAAAAACTTTTCTTGTTTTCTTTTCAATTCTTACAATCAAGGCATTCCATAGAAAAAAGAAACAATTCATTACTTCATAGGGACATTTTCGGCTACTTTCTACTTTACATTTTCAGACGAGAACACAGAACAACAGTGAATGTAGACGGTAAGCTGACGACGATAATCTCATCCGAGGGAGCGACACAGCTCAACACTAACGGGCTTGTGTATCTTGGTGAGTTTACTGCCGCGCCAGGCTTTTTTTTTGTTACAAAACTTGCTCATATTAGGAGGACGTCTCGGCAATCCGAAGCGATTCCGGATAAAAGGAACATTCGTTGGCTGTATTAGGCGAGTGAAAATCAACGGAATTAGGATCAACCTGCTGCACGACGTCATTTCCGCGCAACCACCACTGCGCTGCCATCCGACACTCGTGTAGAAAAGCTGTACATAAATCTTGCTTGGTGACTGAATAGTTTATGGATTTGTCTTTGCTTGGACCCATTTGCTTCCACATTACTACTGGTAATCTGAACCTATTAGTAATTTTAGGTACAATGCCGCTTGTAATTTGTGAAAAAAATTACCGCACTTCGCCGGAGTTCGCCGAAATTCGTATTGTATCGCCATATCTTATTTCAGAGTAAATTTCGCATCACCAGACTCAACTCGACGAGCTGCATCTTATCCAAAAGTGCCTATTTGGGCACAATGATCGGACAAATCTCAATGATCCTGCCAAATTTTTGCTTACGGTAAGTTGATCGTTGTGCAGTTCGAGCACTCTGGGTAACCTACCGTGAGCAAGAATGTGGAAGGATCCGTAATGACCGATTATCGTGACGAAGCAAGCAGATTTGGGTATTAGAAGATGCAGCTCGTCGTGCTGAATTGAATGGTACTCTTGGATTCAAAATTCGTCCACTCTAAAGCAAGGTATAGCGATGCAACGCGGAGTTTGGCCAACTCCGGCGGAGAGCGGTGATTTTTTCTCACAAATCACGAGCGATATTGTTATAGTGTATATTCGCGTGAGTTCTTTGACTTGTATGCTTTCAACGCGATCATCTTCATTGCTTGCATAAATAATAATAATACTAATAGCACAATTGCAAACCAAACACAGCACAAAAAATGGAAATAGAGAGTCAGTAATTATCGCGATGAGCAGGACACCAATGTCACTTCTACAGATCCATAATACTTGAGTAATCGCTGGACCTGAAAATCTCATTATAGTAAAAACTTGATTTTTGTTCCTTGCGGTGTTACTGGATTGATGATCTTCACAAATGTAGGCATAGATATCCTACTATCGGTCATTCTATGTCATCGATTTTCGACTAAATCTTGTATCAAAAATAAGATTCTACTCACATTCTTCTTTGTTGCTCGCGCGATTTTTCCTTTTCCTCGCTCCTGCTGCTGCCTTCTGAACTATTCTTCTTGGTATTTTTCAAGTAAAAAGACCATTTATCAAAACCTTACCTTCACGAAATTGTTGGTTGCCTTTCCTGTTGATTTTGGTGGAGTTATGAATGGAAGAAGAACGAAGAAATTGACTTCTTTCTTCTTCTGCTGATTGCTGGAATGATGTGTTGTGGGAGAAGGGTAGGCACAGAACATTGCACCGATTAGCTTGAAGTTTACAAAATGATAGTGTAAAGGCTGGTTCGATATGTTCTCCTATGAAATGTGGGCGCGGGTAAAAGTGACAGCGAATGGCAATCAGATACGCACGAATAGCAGTAGCATACCGAGAGAGAGGGGTCCCTTCCGAAAATGGGTCGCGAAATTTTTGAAAGTTACTTACATAAGTTATAAGATGTGCAAGTGATGTTCATACTTGTAAACAATCAAAAGAATTTTCAAAATTTTTTTGAGGTTCAATCTAGCTCCGTGTTGGCGCCACGCCCCTTTTTCGGAGACTCCAGGGTTATGGGCTCGCGAAACTTTCGGGAAGCATACCAAAACTTTTTTTGCGGCCTCCCACGCCCCCCCCCCCCCTCTCAAACGGAAATCCTGGGTACGCCACTGTCATACTATAGAGATTTGAGCAGAAAAACACTTCAATCCTTTCTTGTTTGATGATCATGCTTTGTGGATTAGTGTGTTTTGTCAAGGAATGAACTCAATATTTTCGAAATTTGGGGCACTGCTTCCAACTCAGTTTCAAGGACGCTTGACACTGAAAAAAAAACCGAACAAAATTGCGGAAAATCGCAGCTTGACCATTATCACCGTTATTACACATTTTTCAAGCAGCGCTCAGGTTTAAATTGCAAAGCTCTGACCTCAGCTGTACGAAAGTAGTAGCCTTCGTTCCCAATCTGGTGAAGTTGGTCGTAGGAGCGAGCGCTGCGCAGATTGGTCTGTGTGAAAGCTCTGCAAACATGATGTTCAAGATAAAGAAGGAAAAAAATTATAAACAAAGCTAGTAATTCTTGAATGCTCTTTGAAAGCACTTCTTATGTAGTGCGGCTGATTTTAACTACAGGACAAACGCCCATGTCCATTATGTTTCAGATTTATAGTCTTTGTAGTAATAGCGAGTCCTTTAGCCTTGACGAAATAGTCTCAAATTGACATTCTTAGGAATTCTCCTGGTTTCACTTTTGTTTTTTACGAAAATTGAAAACTTGAACGGCTTGATGGTGATCACGTTTCGATAATAACTTGGTTTCAGTGAGTTATCATCTTATGCTAAAAACTTTTGGTCACTGATTAAAATTGCTCAATTCGGAAGGTAGCAAAAGTGCAACACTCAGAGAATAGAGACACGAATTGAAGAGGTTTTGAATTGCAGTCAAAAAGTTTTCATGAAAAGCGGTGAGCATAAACTCCCTCGAAGTTTTTAGGGGTGTAATAGAGTTAACCTTTGAACTAAGATGGTCTCTATGCGCTTTAGAGAATATTTTCCATTGGAAATTTCGAAAAAGAAGAATCTCGTTGGCTTCGTAAACATTAACAGCACATTATTTGCGGTATCTCCAATAATAGCAGATAAGAAATTTGGCGGCTGAGATGAAGCGAAATGCATTACTGACCTATGATCGAACTTCCTCATAACATCATCCAAAGTTGGGAGGCCTAGTTCCGTTCTACTTCTTCGCAATTCGTCTTCTCTTTCTCGAAGTGCTCGAATCTCACTCGCTATACGAGGATCAACGATTTCTGATGAGTTCTAAACAAGTGAACTTTTAGATTGCCTAAGTGAAAATTTTCGTTGAAGCCTGACTCCGAATACTAACAGGTTCGTCTGTGCCATTTTGCAGTGCATAGCCTTGTTTCTTAGCAATCAGAGCAGCGGCAGATTTCTTGACAAATCGACCCCCTCTGAAGCATTTGAATGATTTCAAGAGAACGACAGAGGCGAAGAAGCAGTAAAGTTAGCAGCCAATTACTTCACGAAAAGTTTCCACCTTGCTTCCGATTGCTTCCCCTCACCGTCGCTCGAGTACCCTCTGCTCCTCTCTGCGAATTCGTTAGCCAAATCATCAGTTCGCAGTTGCCGCTCTAGCGCTACAAGCCTAGGACTCTAAATGAGGACTTGGGTTTATGTGATCAAGTTTGACCCGCCTTTAACAGAATTTTAGGGTGATTGTTTTTCAAATTAGATACAAGTTTCACTTATTTTGTAAGTAGTACAAATTTTATGAAAATTTATATGCTGCTTTTTTCACCGCACTTGTTTGGTTCGATATGTCTCAGGTTTATAAATGCTGAATGAAAAATGTTGGCATATCACACAATAGGGTGATAAAGAGAAGGATACAAGGCTTGATGTGATTTGTTTTCGGTTCTAATTATGATTTTACCACCTACCCTTCTCAACTGAGCCAAAGTTGTGTTGGAAGTTGCTATTCGACAGATAAACAAGCTTTTGAGTTACGGTCAACATTGCGCTTTTGTTTGAAATAAAATTTTATTTGTGTTATAAGATAACACATTTGTACAGAAAAATATGAATTACTAACATTTTGCAAAGAATTTTTGATATTTTTTGATGCAAGACATGCATTGGAAAAAAGTGATACTGTCGATACAGGAAACCGCTGTCTTTTTGGTTCGTTTATAAAATATTAAGAGTACTATAGTTTTAAATATTAATTGCTTTTAGTATGCTAGCATAAATATGCCCTTTTCACTGAATCTTTAGCGTTAGCTCAAACGTCAAAATACACAGACGAGAAATTTCAATATTTATTTATACGGAACACTTCATACGACAAATCGGACAAGCAAAACTGGTTCCGGTTTCGGACTATGATGGTCCTCAAAAACTCTTGTGATAAACTGGTTATCCATAATGGATACACAGAAGTTGGCGCTAGGTCACTCCCGTGAAAGTTAAAAAAGTGTTCTCTCGTGACAGATTTGACTAGCTTTGTTCCAGTGAAGAAAAAAAAATCTAATCTTGTTTTCTGGTTTGCAAAAGCCGGTGGTGGTTGACTTGCATTCATCGATGTTATTTGAGCAAGCTAGGTCTTCGCTGAAGGGAAAATCATGAAAGTGGAATGCTTGAATATAAACCACAAACCTGAGCGGGAGCAGATCGTTCGCTTTTTCTTGTCTGAAACTATTAATGTGCAGCATTTAGATGAAGCATGTCAAACGCGCAAAAATTGCAAGGGGTTTTCCGAGAAAAACAGAAGTTCTTAAGAAAGCTTACTCTACCTTGTTGCCTGGGGGTGGTGACTTTCGCGATGGAGCTGTGTGAGACGACACATATGCTTCTGCATTTCCATTGATAGGTCGTGAATTCGGCCTTATTTCCTATGGTAAAAAAATCATAAAAGAGCACAGATCTAGGCGCCTACATTACCTCAGCAACGCTGATATGCACATTCTGCATTGGAAGAGCAGATATATAGTGCCAAAGAGTTTCGGTCAAACCAATTCCTAAAAGCAAATGCGGCTTCAAATGTCTTTATCCTCTTTTACGCTAATTGCAATCAAATGAGTTGCAAAAATGAGTCGACTGACCTAGATAATTCAACAGCATGCGATGGCTTTTGAAGTACAAAAGCAGTTTCCTGGCCTCCTCGTCAAGATGTTTGGCACTACCTGGACTGACTTTGTGAGAGCCCAGAATATCGAGCTGGTGAGTTTTCACACATCCTTCAGAAGCGAAAGCGGAATCAGTCGACACCGTTGTGTGCTCACACTGGTCACTGCTATCCGAGCGATAGCCAGTCTCTAAAATATTTATTTTTTTAATGAGCACGGCATCAAAACCGGATGCCTACCGTCTGCTTGGCTTGGTTGCTCCCTTTCAATTTCTCGGTTTTTATTTTCGAAGTGATTTCTTTGCTCAGCTCTCTGCTGCTCCTGTTCCGGATTGCTTCGCTGTCGGTCTGATTCCCTCATTGGTTTATCTCTTTTGAGAGTTTCCCAATTATGAGCCCTGCTTGCTGATCGCTGACTCGGAGGTTCTCGTTCCCTTCTCTGCTGGTTGTCCCTATTCTCGTGCTCTTCCTCATCGATCTTTATTGGCCAGTCTCCGCTGTTCATCCTTTGGACGACTTCCTGCACATTATGAACCTGTTGGTTCATAACATCGCTCTCGTTTTCGCGTCTGTTTTCCGCTCCTTTTGCGAATGGATTCGTCGATGGTCTTCTACTTGCACTTGATCTGGACTCAGTGGCACGCAGAGGTGGAGTCTGAGGAGCTCTCTCCATATGGACTACAACCATCTTCCCTGCCATATGGTCCTGACGTGAGCGTGGAAGCTTTTCAGGTGAATTCTTTGCTGGAGAATTCCTTCCATTCGGTTCAGTGCTGCGCTTATAGCGCTCGTCTCCTTTCCTTTCAACAGATAGCTCCTGTTTCTGAACGTTTACCACTACTTTGTTGAGATTAATTTTGTCAGGCGTCCTCATGTTCGGAGCTGGTGGAGGTGGTGGAGACGATCGCGTAGTGGGCCCCACTCGCCCGTTTCTGTGCTCTGAGAAGCTTCTCTGCACTGCAGTCACTTCTCGGATCTTTGTGACCGATTTTCTTGCGTGTTCGTCATCGGCACAATCTACATCATTCCGACCATCCTTCTCTCCATTTGTGATCTCAATTCGTGCAACATGTCTCTCTGGACGAAAGGCAACGTTGTTACGTTGTTCCTTTATGGCTCGTTGGCTTCGTTCAAATGCGTGTGTCTTCCTTTCATAGTCATCTTGTGCTTCTTCTGAAAATGATGATAGACACACTGAGAGATTAGAACAAAAATGCAGTATTAATGCAGACAGTAACGTAGATTCAGTAAAAACTTGGCATTTTAGCCATATACTTCTTCCCTAGCTTAGTACTGTGCTAGGTTAAGCGAAAATACAATACCGCTCTCAGAATGTGCAAAATTTCCGTGAATTCCGCGAAAATCCGAGAATTCCGCGAACTTCCGCGAAATTCCGGGAATTCCGCGACATTCCGGGAATTCCGCGAAATTCCGGAAATTTCGCGAAATTCATGTGAATCACGCAAATTACGCAGGGCCATAACTTCTTTCCGAATGAGTATAAGCAAAATCCGAAAACAGCATTGTATTCAGCTCGTCAAGGCGAATCTTTTGGTATACAGGTTGTCTCCAATATCCTCTTTTCAATAATCTTGAATCTGTATGCGGACGCCTTTTCGCGTGGGTGTAACGCAACAAGCATCGCACATAGGAGATTGCGGCGGGCACATTTCGATAGTACTCTTTCAGTAGATTATTCTGCGCTAAACAGCAGCCGAAGACTCTCTTTTAAAAGAGATAGAAGAGCTGATAAACTCTGGAAAAATCAAGCTGTTCTAAGTTCTACTAGCCGTAACTTCCTTCAGAATGAATATCTTTGAAATCCGAAAACAGTATTGTGTTCAGCTCGATAAGGCGAATCTTTCGGTATACAGCATGTCCTTGAAATTCCGTTTCCAATTTTTTCAAAATTTTCTGCGCGCGTATATTCGCAAGGTCGCAACGCAGCGCACATCAAACATAAAAGACTCCAATAAGCACTGTTAGATTGTGCTGCTCCCGCAGATTACCGAGCGCTAAAAGCGAACTGGAGAATCTTTTTCGAAAAAGATAGAAGAGCTGGTGAATTCTGGAAAAATCGTGTTGTGTCAAATTTTGCCCACTGTAACCCTAAAATGGGAAGCTCTCCTGCTAAGCAGATGTGCTTTTCGTAATCAGCAGGTCAGATAACCTCTTTGAGCGAAGTTTCCTTATAATTCAAGATCATCGACATTTTGACCAAAACCCATCGGCGAGCTTCAGGGAGTAGAACGAGAAAAAATCAAATCACCCGAATTTCTTTGAAAACTTGCTCGTAGAGGTTATCTGACCTGCTGATTACGAAAAGCACATCTGCTTAGCAGGAGAGCTTCCCATTTTAGGGTTACAGTGGGCAAAATTTGACACAACACGATTTTTCCAGAATTCACCAGCTCTTCTATCTTTTTCGAAAAAGATTCTCCAGTTCGCTTTTAGCGCTCGGTAATCTGCGGGAGCAGCACAATCTAACAGTGCTTATTGGAGTCTTTTATGTTTGATGTGCGCTGCGTTGCGACCTTGCGAATATACGCGCGCAGAAAATTTTGAAAAAATTGGAAACGGAATTTCAAGGACATGCTGTATACCGAAAGATTCGCCTTATCGAGCTGAACACAATACTGTTTTCGGATTTCGAAGATGTTCATTCTGAAGGAAGTTACGGCTAGTAGAACTTAGAACAGCTTGATTTTTCCAGAGTTTATCAGCTCTTCTATCTCTTTTAAAAGAGAGTCTTCGGCTGCTGTTTAGCGCAGAATAATCTACTGAAAGAGTACTATCGAAGGGTGCCCGCCGCAATCTCCTATGTGTGATGCTTGTTGCGTTACACCCACGCGAAAAGGCGTCCGCATGCAGATTCAAGATTATTGAAAAGAGGATATTGGAGACAACCTGTATACCAAAAGATTCGCCTTGACGAGCTGAATACAATGCTGTTTTCGGATTTTGCTTATACTCATTCGGAAAGAAGTTATGGCCCTGCGTAATTTGCGTGATTCACATGAATTTCGCGAAATTTCCGGAATTTCGCGGAATTCCCGGAATGTCGCGGAAGTTCGCGGAATTCTCGGATTTTCGCGGAATTCACGGAAATTTTGCACATTCTGAGAGCGGTATTGTACGGTGCTTATTCAGAAGCTTGAGAGGCCTATGTAGGCCATAATGATGAAGTAAACAAACTGCATGCTGCTTTGGAACTATTTATATGATGTAAAATGCTAGTGTTCGAATCCAGCGATATTAAAAAGGAAGAAGGCTCAAACTTGGCAAATCTTGTCATTTTCCTAATTACGTTTTAATGATAGAGTCACAAGCGAAAATTGAGCTTCCTCCCCCCCCCCCCCCCCCAAAAAAAAATTTCTCTCCAGTAAAGTGGTAAAATTTTCTTGAATAAATAGGAGGACTAGCACTTCAAGAAATTTTTTCGTCATAAAGTATTATATTCTCGAGTAGAAATTCACTGAATAACCATCACTTACCTTCTTCGTAGTAAGGCATAGAGTACATTTCGTGACCATCGTTATCATCATGGTGTTCAAGAGGCATCATATAGGAATGAAGCTAAATTTTTCTTATGAATATGTCGTTTAAGTTTCCAAACAACAAGATTTTTTGGAAGTGTAGATGTTTTATGAAAGTGTAAATGCGGGAGAACTCAGATGAGTACACATACCTTCAGTGAACCTGAGCAAGCAAGCACTATAGATGTACATTTTTGTATCTGGCAAGCTCCTCTTTACACTACGAGTAAAATATAATTACCATACGCATAAATTCAATGTCAAGTATGTCAAGTACACTGTTCAAATATTGTGACCTGCAAACGATTTACGCACCTCATCTTCAACAACTGGCTTCTTGCGTTGTTGCTGCTGATACCTAGGTCCTCTTATCGCTGACATAGCAGGCCTGGACAGAACAGAAGCGCAGGAACGGAGGGCAGCAGGCCGGATATTCGACTGTATGCGCGAATTAGCCAGTGGGACGGCCGGCTGACGGCGGACGCAAACATCAAACTGTCAGAAGCGTCACCCTCGCGACGACAGCTCCTAAAATGGAAACACTTCCTCAATATCTCGTTATGATTCACTGTATGCAATTGCAGTCGGACACAGCTTTATGTGAGATCGATCTTAATAGATATCGATCACCAAACTTTTTGAAATATTATGTTATCTCATAACCTTTCATCTCAGCAGAATTCGGCTTGCCTCAATTTTTTGAATCAGAGCTTAAGCGACTAATTGATAGAGCAACTCAAGTCCTGCAAGATGACCTACTAAAGATCGCAAATGGCTTAATAAATGCGATGTTTGAAGCCGAAATCCAAAAATTTCCAATGCTTGAAAAATCGTAGCCCAGAAATTCTACGCCAACTTGCTCAGGTATATAATTTCCACATCAAGCATTTATGTTTACATTTGCTGAATTTTTCCATGGCTAAAAACCAAAAACAATCATAGGCGAAAATCGCGAGAAACCAAGAAAATGTCGCTTTGTCTGAGTTTTTTATGTTAGATTCGTTATTTCTCGTGAAGTAAAATAAAAGGCTGAGATTTTATTGTATATAGTACTCACAAAGATTTATACTTTGAACTGTGCACACAAGAACAGCCTAGCAAAGTTCTTTACGAAAACATGCAGACTTTTATCCTCGATTTCTAACAATGGAAAAAATACAGCAATTTTATGTATGAACGTTTAATGTGGACATTATATGCTAGAACAAAAGGCCGTAGGATTTTTTTCTGGACGAAGATTTGATTTTTTTCAATGTTTTGGGCATTTGGATGTTTTTAGATTTCGGATTAAAACTTGAATGGATCACACTTGGTGTGAGTGTTTAAAATTGATCCTTATAGAGATTGCTTTGCTCTCTATAGAATCAATAGATACCCCAATTGCTATGAGAAATTCATGAACAAGTGACTTATGGCAGTGAAAAATCAAATAAGAAAAGACTCATGGGATGCCTAATAGTTCCCTTCTTCATGTTCAGCGAACTCGCTTGCTTCTATTTCAAAGAAAAGGAAGAGCTTCCGTCGTAGCTCAACAGGGGTCGATAATGAGAAACACTCAAATTGTACTTTCTCAAAGACAAATGTTTAAAAGGGCTAAGAAGTCCCATGAATGAACTTATTCTGGATGTTAATATTATGCCGTAATGGTGACCGGATGTTTCTACGAATAGTTATGAGGAATAGTTGACCTTTCGATTCGTTTCGGAACGCTCGTATCCATTACGTTGTCTCATGAGTTTTTCAATTTTGTCACATACATTCTCAATAGTGATAGAATGCAAAGCACCATTAGATAGAGCAAAGTAAGCTCTACAAGATGGTATGTAAGTATTCGCACCAGCTTCAGCACATCGAGTTTGAAGCCAAAATTTAAGAACTTTCGGATGCCTAAAAAATTGGAAAGTTTCTAGTCTTTGTCCAAAAAAACTTACCGGATACGAAACTAGCTCACGCATATGCACTCCACATGATACATTCACATACGCCGTTGCTGTATTTGTTTCTGTGCTAGAAACCAAGAAAACTGAAATTTTCAAAATTCCAAAAAAGCGATGCAGCGCTGTTGTGACATAGGTAAATGTACAATGCAAGCCTTTAGCATGCAGTCACAGATTTTCAGCATTCCATAAGCTCTACTTCCCGAGAAAAATTGATTTCAACATAAAATAGTTTAGCAAAAAAAGCCAAATTCTGTGTTTCTAAAGAATTAGCGCTTTCAGGAAGCTGAAAAATTACCGATGTATTTCTTAAGGCCTGTAGTGTACGTTTACCTATGCGAGAGCAGGGCAGCATCGCTTTTTTGGAAGCTCGAAAATTCAAGTTTTCTCCGTTTCTAGCACAGAAACAAACACAGCAAGTGCATTGAAGGTATTATGTGGAGCGTATATGCGTAAGCGAGTTTAAGATCCGGTAAGTCTTCCGTGGACAAAGATATGAAAAATTTAAATTTTTGGGCACCAGAAAGTTCTCAGATTTCGACTTCTAACTCGTGAGATGCTGAAGTTGGTGCGAACTCTTACATACCATCTTGTAGAGCTTGCTCTGCTTTGTCGAATGGTACCCTGCACTCTAATCATGATTGAGAAGTCTGTGACTTATTGCGGTAAAAATTTACAATTGAAAAAACTTATAAGACAACCTAATATGTACCCTGTTTTCGCATGTAAAAGCAGCACATATTTGCTCTAAATGCAGACGCCCCAAAGGAATCTGCGTGCCACGAAGAGCGTTAACTGTGGCAATAGTAGGGAAAAGCGAACGCTTCGCGGGGCACACTTGCAGCGAGGCGCTCGGTCTGCTCTAGTTTGGATGAAGTGAGTGCTGCTTGTGTACCTGAAGGTAAGATAGTATGTGTCAAACTAGTGAATCCTACGAACAACTAGCAAGTGCATTGGGGCAGAAAAATTAGTGCGTGCTCAGGTGAAACTGCGGATAGTTTTTACAGTAACACTTGTCAGGTTCAGGAGCTTCACTCTCCTGGCGCGATCCTTCATCTTGGTTGTCCTGCTTTATATGAACATAACTTTACAACTAAAATCTTTATGATATGCAGAAGCAGTGCCTTTTTCCATAATTCCTTTCCGTCTGTCCTCATTCCTCGAAGAGCAGTCAAGTAGCTGAGAGATGAAGCGACGACCAACAATGGAAACCTGCCATTAACCAATGCAACGTTCAAACGGTATATAGGCAGTACAGAAGACGATGATCCTCTGCATAATCTCCTGCCCTCTAGAGACAGATTATACATGGACAGCTAGATGACAACTTCCTACTCCCAAACCATGATCAAAGATGAAAGCGACGAGCTTCATTATGGAACAGACATGTCGAGATGCAGACTACGCGATGGTTCGACAATCTTCACCTCATCTGGGCACTGCCCAACAACTCTAGGTAAGCTGTGCTTAACCGGGTAACCGGCGTTTCCATTCCTTTCTTTTACTCATAGCTTTCCTTAAGCTTATAAATATATAAGAAAGATTCTGCTCATAAATGTTATGATATAGAGCAGGACGATCAAGTGAAAGATTTAAGTCAGGAGAGTGCACCTCCTGGTCTTGCCAGACTCTTTGAAATAGTTTTCTCTCACAGTAGCGTGAAATAGCTTCGCCGTACGAAGAGTGTTCATGGGAAAACGGAAGTTACCTATCCGAAAGACTACAAGCAGGGTCAAGCGTGGGGTGTGGCACGCCACCCTGGGGGGTCGTATAGAGGAGTCGAAAGGGGAGGGGGTCGTAGTTGGGTGATCTGATAATAGCGATAACATAATTTTCGTATCATATCCATAATTAGCATGTCAATTAACCCTAGACAAAGTTTGAGCGAATTCTGAAGATTCAAGATACTAGGCTACCTACGTGAAAAGGTCATATTCCAACATGGTTAACTTTGTTTCAAAGGTGAATTAGCTATCCGTTTTTTCACTCAAGGCAAAGCGCTACTCCTTCTTTGTCCAGCTCAGACATCCCGCTTCAAAAGGCTTCCAAACTGTGAAATTAGAAGCCAACCAAAATATCATTTTTCCCATTTTTCGCTTTTAATAGCTGTGCTTTCACCAAATATACTCAGAGCTAAGAAGACGAATCAGGCTTAAAACATTCCTATAGAATCTGCGAGGCTTAGGCTATCGACTTATATGAATATTGTTAGCTAAAAATTTTTTTTGATATAGATAATGGGTGTGGCACACCCACTCAAAAGCTGTGGTAGGCACAGCTTTTAAAGGCACCGTCCACCCAAAGCGAGGTTGATGAGATTTCGGTGGCATACTAGTGTGGGCCCCCACACTAGGCGAACCCCCAAGTAGCGCCGCAAAATACTCCTTCCGAAGCGAGAAATCCGCTCCGGAAGGGACGTAACCGGAGGTGGTCACTCCGCCCACTTTGCAGGCGCGCTGATATACGCAGGGCGTCATTAGCAAACTAGTCATGGGCAATTGTGTAATCGATTAGGAGTATTAGGAAATGTTTGCCCCGATCTTGATCCAGGCCCCGTGTATTTAGCACATTCACACAGAAAGCAGTGAAAGCAAGTGTTTTAGCACACAGAAATGCGTGATAGTTTATTGCAATGATCCATTAGTCATGTAGACGGCGTCAACGATCATTTTGACTACAAATACTTTTCAATTTGATGTACATTGCAATGAAAAAACTCACGTCGCATGTTCATCTCGTTTTATTGAGCACAAGCGTCGTCCATAAAGAAAGATCATGCCATGTTGACATCAAGAAAAACAGCTATGCCATGTTTATATCAAGAGAAACAGCTATGCCGGATGCTGATAATGGCTATAATCGGAAAAACAACTTTGTCGTAAATTTGGTCATGACTGAATAAAAAATGAACGGTTGAGAATACAAGTACACGAAATAACACTAGGAAAACTGCGATTAGTCGCCTACGACGAGGCAGCGTACTGCGCTGTGCGTGTAGTCTCTCCAATGGTGCGCCTGCAAAGTGGGCGGAGTGACCACCTCCGGTTACGTCCCTTCCGGAGCAGATTTCTCGCTTCGGAAGAAGTATTTTGCGGCGCTACTTGGGGGTTCGCCTAGTGTGGGGGCCCACACTAGTATGCCACCGAAATCTCATCAACCTCGCTTTGGGTGGACGGTGCCTTTAAGGGGGTGTGCCACACCCCATTAACTATGTCATAAAAACATTTTTAGCAAACCGTATTTATGGGTCGATAGCCCTAGATCTCCTAGTTTTCAAACGAGTGATTTGAGCCTGATTCGCTTTCTTTGCTCTGACAAGGGAAGTTCACTCAGTCGAAGTGGCGATTCGGATGAAGATCTATACCAGTGGATAGAGTTTAAAAAGCTGATCTCACAATCAGATATACTTCTATATCTGCGATGCGTCGTTTTGAAAAAAGTTAT